CCAAAATGACTTCCGACAATATTAAAGTAGCCACAAAGATCAGACCAATGATCCACCGCGAAGTAGCCGATGGTCTAGAGCGTCTTTGGAACGTAAGAGTAAACTGCATATGGGAAGCCGATGAAAGTAGTCGCCATGGAGAGGTTTATATATTCGACCATGTATTTAAGCAGGCAAAACACACACCATTTTGGGCAATAAACAGATCCTGGGCTTTTCCAATTAGTATCCAATCAGTTATTCCAGCATGTGGCAGACCAGGTTGATAAGAGGTACTTGATTAGATGCTGTTATATTGAAATCTACAATGAAAACTGGTCGATTATTACGCATTTACCTGAACTAAAGTCCGTGGCAACCAATTTGGAAAATAATAACCCTGTGACTCGAGAAATGCCGATAAATTTCTCCAAATACGTGAAATTTTCGAGACACTCATAGAGAACTGTCGAAATTGTTATATTTCGGGTGAGTCCCCTACAAAATACGAGATGCTCGTGGGCCGATGTCCTTCCTGTGCCTACAAGAAAACTAAACCGAATAAGTATGGACTGATGATGCAAAGACTCACCACTACCTGCTCAATGCTTTCGTCTATACGAACAGAAATATCACAGCAGATGACTGGTTCACGTCAGTAGAATTACATGTAGAATTGCGCATCAACCAACTGACCTATGTCGGCAGGAAGCGTAAAAATAAGTAACAAGTACCCCCAACATGTAGTTCCAAATAAGAAGGAAACACAGCCAGGTACTTCTAAGTTTATGTTGTACAGCCTTAGAGTAGTATCTTCCAAAACCAAATACACATGTTCTCGTATAGCAATCTATGCAGCATGATAACAAATAGTAGAGGAATCAAAGAAACCTGATAAGATCCTATATTATTTTTATAACACTATGAAGGCGGGGGGTAATGCATTAGATCGGAAGTGTGTAATTACAATACTGGTTAGAGAACGAGAAGATGGCCTTGTGCTATTTGGTATCCAACCAGCTTCTGTAAATTCCTTTTTTTTCAGTCTGGGGACTGAAAGTTCCATTAGGCGAAGCGAAATTTTATTGTTCCCCTGCAAAGAATCCTAATTACCAACGACGAATAAAGTAAGCCGTCTACTTCTCAGCCCAGAGTTCCGATCCTGATGCAGTTGTTAAAGAAAAAAAACGACGTAGGTGTTACATGACAATACACAATGAAAAAAAATGTTCTACAATCTGTAATAAGTATGTAAAGTCACAGCGCACTTACATTGTTTCGTGAAAAGTGATAAATGTTAATTATTGTATGTTTCCTTATACGAGAAAGTATTGTTTTTGTTGTAGAAAATCAACACCAAATATGTTTGTTAATGGCCCATTTTGTTAGTTTTTTTATGTTCATATTACAGTTCAAGTTACGAGGATTATATTATGCATTACTCATCTTCAATGGGGTATTTTCGTTTTTAGACAATAAACAGTTTCATGTAAGAGTGTCTTATGCGTACAAACCTGTTGTACACATGGCTAAAAACAGTAATGGCATTTCAGATGTTGATAGTAAGATCCGGTGGATAACCTGTTTTGCGAGATTAGACGTGGGATTTCCAACACGAACACCATCTGTTTATTTGAAGCATTAAAAACTGTAATAATCAACAATTTCAGTTTTCCATTGACAATAATGAAGAATTATGAAGGCGATTCATGTAAGGCACTAGGTAACTTCGCGTTGCTTTTAGAAGAGTATTGTCTGAATAGACAACAGTTACCTTGTGATTCTTCACCGAGCTGCATTTTCAAGTTGAAAAATCGGGTGCTGAAAGTGATGTATCTATAGATTTGTGAGAATTTGCTGCTGCTTCAACTTCTTTTGTAATAACAATAACAGTCTATATGAAATTTAACAATTCTGTTTCTTCTTTGATTTTGAGTCACCTGTAAATGTAGCTCTACTAAACTATCGGACCGCATTCATAGCCTACAAGAGAAAAAAATCTTCTATACTGGAAAGGAGGAAAAAAAGAATGTATCAACCTGATACATCTGCCCCTCTTTATAACCCGTGAAATAGCCCTAGTTCTAATTAAATTTCAGTTCAAGCTTCCAAAATGACTTCCAACAATATTAAAGTAGCCACACAGATCAGACCAATGATCCACCGCGAAGTAGCCGATGGTCTAGAGCGTCTTTGGAACGTAAGAGTAAACTGCATATGGGAAGCCGATGAAAGTAGTCGCCATGGAGAGGTTATATATTCGACCATGTATTTAATCAGGAATGTACAAATTCAGATGTATATGGATCTGTAGTAAAACCTTTAGTCGATTCCTTCATGGAAGGTTTCAATGCCACAATATTTGCATATGGCCAAACATCTTCTGGCAAAACACACACCATTTTGGGCAATAAAACAGATCCTGGGCTTTTCCAATTAGTATCCAATCAGTTATTCCAGCATGTGGCAGACCAGGTTGATAAGAGGTACTTGATTAGATGCAGTTATGAATCTACAATGAAAGATCAATGACCTCCTGGATAAGAGCAATCAGGGTTTAACTATGAGAAGATATCAAAGGAAATGTGCTGCTTGATGCAAGGGAAGCTGTCGTAGACAATGTTGATAAAGTTATGGAGAACATGATGCAGGGCAATAAGATCAGACGAGTTGCAGCTACTCGCATGAATGAGAGGTCATCTCGATCACACACGATTTTCCGGATTATTCTGGAGTCGAAAGATGCCAATCAGAAAGATGGACCTGTACATATAAGCTACCTTAACTTAATGGACTTAGCTGGTTCTGAGAGAGTTTCTCTGACGAAAGCTGCTGGTGAGCGTCTTAAAGAGGGGGCTAACATAAACAAATCTTTGTCAGTATTAGGAAATGTGATAAGGCAACTAAGCGAGGGGAAGGAGTTTATCAGTTATCGCGATTCGAAATTGACTAGACTGCTCTCACAGGCTCTTGGCGGTAATGCCAAATCATTGATTATCGGGAATGTTACTTTAGCTGCAGAGGAGGAGACTAGATCTACACCAGAATTCGCCCAAAGCACTAAAACTGTCAAAAATAAAACGAAAGTAAACATCTTGTCAGCTACAGAAGAGACACTTCAAGGATATCAGAACTTGACTCGCGATCTCGAAACTCGGCTCAAAAAGCAGGCAATTAAGCTAAAAGAGATGGATAAAAGCAAACAAGAGTATCTGCTCGAGATAGAAAGACTAAAAACGGAAGTATCTATTGTCGGGCGCTTTCAAATGGGAGCCTCGGCATCAACACCGAAAAAAACATTAAGACGTCATACTTTTGGACACTATGGCAACGTATCACCTAAAAAAGCATCCCTAGGGTATATGCCATTGAAAAATTATCCACCCAAAGAAGAATCATCCGGACGTGAAATGAGGCCTATTCAAGAAGAGACATATGAGGAGGCACTAGCCGAAGCAGAATCTGTGATAGCTGAAGACGTGCAAGTGTACTTAAAAGACAACGCAAAGAACTGGAAGAATCTTTCAATGAGCTTAGAGAATTCACTAAACTAGATAATCAGCTGGAGATTTTGGACCTGAAGAAACAGCTCACAGAAGCCAATTCTAAAATCGATCGTTACAGTCAGGAACTCCGCCAAGTAACGGATGCGTACAACGAAGAAATAGAAAGAGTTCAAAAAAATTCTCAAAAAGCGCAAGAATTTCATCGACTTGCAATACAGACTCGATTTTCTGGAAAAAAATAATAAAAAGACTAAAAACATACGAGTCAGAAATAGAGATGCTGCGTACTCAACTGAAGAACCTAGGAAGATCAGAGAGCCCTAAACCATCTCTTGAAGCTCAAAATATTGAGTCAAAAAAGAAGGTTGCAGACTTAGAAGCTATGCTTGACGCTGAGTACGAAGATATGCAAGATTCTTTAAGTGCTGCTACACAAACTGATGTAACGATGTCACACATTGCTGAACTGCAAGATGAAATTGGCTTCCTAAAAGAACTTGAATCTAAACTGAGAAATGACGTAAAGAGTCTGATGGACGAGAGTAACCAACGTGAGGTCAACCACTCATTTAAAATCTCAGATATACGATGCCATAATGATTCTACTATAAAAGAGCTTCAGGATCAAATGGCTGAACTGGAATGCCAAAACGAAATCTGGATTATGAAAAGTGCCCCTCTTTATAACCCGTGAAATAGCCCTAGTTCTAATTAAATTTCAGTTCAAGCTTCCAAAATGACTTCCGACAATATTAAAGTAGCCACAAAGATCAGACCAATGATCCACCGCGAAGTAGCCGATGGTCTAGAGCGTCTTTGGAACGTAAGAGTAAACTGCATATGGGAAGCCGATGAAAGTAGTCGCCATGGAGAGGTTTATATATTCGACCATGTATTTAAGCAGGAATGTACAAATTCAGATGTATATGGATCTGTAGTAAAACCTTTAGTCGATTCCTTCATGGAAGGTTTCAATGCCACAATATTTGCATATGGCCAAACATCTTCTGGCAAAACACACACCATTTTGGGCAATAAAACAGATCCTGGGCTTTTCCAATTAGTATCCAATCAGTTATTCCAGCATGTGGCAGACCAGGTTGATAAGAGGTACTTGATTAGATGCAGTTATATTGAAATCTACAATGAAAAGATCAATGACCTCCTGGATAAGAGCAATCAGGGTTTAACTATAAGAGAAGATATCAAAGGAAATGTGCTGCTTGATGCAAGGGAAGCTGTCGTAGACAATGTTGATAAAGTTATGGAGAACATGATGCAGGGCAATAAGATCAGACGAGTTGCAGCTACTCGCATGAATGAGAGGTCATCTCGATCACACACGATTTTCCGGATTATTCTGGAGTCGAAAGATGCCAATCAGAAAGATGGACCTGTACATATAAGCTACCTTAACTTAATGGACTTAGCTGGTTCTGAGAGAGTTTCTCTGACGAAAGCTGCTGGTGAGCGTCTTAAAGAGGGGGCTAACATAAACAAATCTTTGTCAGTATTAGGAAATGTGATAAGGCAACTAAGCGAGGGGAAGGAGTTTATCAGTTATCGCGATTCGAAATTGACTAGACTGCTCTCACAGGCTCTTGGCGGTAATGCCAAATCATTGATTATCGGGAATGTTACTTTAGCTGCAGAGGAGGAGACTAGATCTACACCAGAATTCGCCCAAAGCACTAAAACTGTCAAAAATAAAACGAAAGTAAACATCTTGTCAGCTACAGAAGAGACACTTCAAGGATATCAGAACTTGACTCGCGATCTCGAAACTCGGCTCAAAAAGCAGGCAATTAAGCTAAAAGAGATGGATAAAAGCAAACAAGAGTATCTGCTCGAGATAGAAAGACTAAAAACGGAAGTATCTATTGTCGGGCGCTTTCAAATGGGAGCCTCGGCATCAACACCGAAAAAAACATTAAGACGTCATACTTTTGGACACTATGGCAACGTATCACCTAAAAAAGCATCCCTAGGGTATATGCCATTGAAAAATTATCCACCCAAAGAAGAATCATCCGGACGTGAAATGAGGCCTATTCAAGAAGAGACATATGAGGAGGCACTAGCCGAAGCAGAATCTGTGATAGCTGAAGACGTGCAAGTGTACTTAAAAGACAACTCAAAGAACTGGAAGAATCTTTCAATGAGCTTAGAGAATTCACTAAACTAGATAATCAGCTGGAGATTTTGGACCTGAAGAAACAGCTCACAGAAGCCAATTCTAAATTCGATCGTTACAGTCAGGAACTCCGCCAAGTAACGGATGCGTACAACGAAGAAATAGAAAGAGTTCAAAAAAATTCTCAAAAAGCGCAAGAATTTCATCGACTTGCAATACAGACTCGATTTTCTGGAAAAAAATAATAAAAAGACTAAAAACATACGAGTCAGAAATAGAGATGCTGCGTACTCAACTGAAGAACCTAGGAAGATCAGAGAGCCCTAAACCATCTCTTGAAGCTCAAAATATTGAGTCAAAAAAGAAGGTTGCAGACTTAGAAGCTATGCTTGACGCTGAGTACGAAGATATGCAACATTCTTTAAGTGCTGCTGCACAAACTGATGTAACGATGTCACACATTGCTGAACTGCAAGATGAAATTGGCTTCCTAAAAGAACTTGAATCTAAACTGAGAAATGACGTAAAGAGTCTGATGGACGAGAGTAACCAACGTGAGGTCAACCACTCATTTAAAATCTCAGATATACGATGCCATAATGATTCTACTATAAAAGAGCTTCAGGATCAAATGGCTGAACTGGAATGCCAAAACGAAATCTGGATTATGAAAAAGGACGACGAAATCAGAAAATTGCAACAACTAATTACAAACCCGAAGCAGGCTGGCACTTAACCAGAACCACCTGTGCAGGAAGACGTTGCATTTTATAGGGAGCAAGTTGAGTTCTCCCAGAACATGTACAAAAATGAGATAATAGGTGGAGAGTTACGTATAAACCATAGAGAAAATCTTCAGGCAGTTAAACTAGAAATATGTCTACCCTTGTTTAGTGTTTACGATTATTGCAGGGTTTGGACAAAGTTTAGGGCTGATCCCAGTGCTCACAGTGTACAATTTTCAGCTAATAAATCTTGAATTCTGAGGTAACAAAATCAACTAGAACTCTGAAAAAGTGATTTATCAGAAATCATGCCCTTACTTCCATGATAAGAGGGATTCGTAAAAATTATAAGCAGGTTGTGGCTTATTATCTAGTAAAAGATACAAGAATCCCAGATCTGAAAACGATTATTGTTCATGTGATCACAAACTAGCAGCGACTTGGTTTGTGCGTTGTTGGCACTATTTCTAATCAGGGCGCAACGATCAAAAACGCACTTGAGACGATTTGCTCGGAGAATACTCACGGATCAAGTCCATTCCATTTTATAGTCAATGCTCAGAGTATTTCTACAATTTGTGATGAACCACATTTATTCAAAAATGGATGAAATGCTCTTATTGACATTAATATGAAAGTGAAGAAGCTGCACAGATTGAACATGTCTAGAAATCATATAATGTTGATCAGCAAACAAGACCATACAAAGAGCTATGTAAATTGAAACCCAGCCACTTTGATTTTATAGATTCGTTCAAGAATATAGAAATTAATCCTTTAATGATATCGTCGGATGATTCGAGCTTTCTCAGTTATGTGGTGGGGGTCCCGTGACTTCTCATACGGTATGAGCACGTATACCTCAAACCACAGTTTAATTTAAACATCACAATTGTTGGTTTGTTGACTTTGCGGTCAAATTTGATCCGAGGATGTCAGTTGCGTGTACGATTTGAACTTCCTTCACAATGGATTTTTTCGTTGTTGACGGATGAACAATACACTATAGACTACGCCGAGGACGACGCTGCTATCGATCAACCTGAACAACTTCCTATGGGCGACCTCGCTATGCCTATGGAAAAAACATGTACAATTGGTCAAAACGAGCGCCTGCAACTGGTCGATTATTACGCATTTACCTGAACTAAAGTCCGTGGCAACCAA